CTATCTATCTATCTATCTATCTATCTATCTATCTATCTATCTATCTCTCTCTCTCTCTCTCTGTCTCTCTCTCGTTGTGCGCATGTGCGAATGGTGAGGGCGAGTGGAGCGCGTTGTGAGTGTGAGCGTTTTGTGCCATTGAGGCTTCTTTTTCAAACTTTCTTTTTTTATGTTATATGAGTTTATTGATCTTTGTCTGTACTTTGTGTGTTGTGGCTGGGTGATACAAGGGTTGTTGAAATTTAGGGCGTTATACGGCGGTGTTGTTCAAACACGATTAGGGCGTTATACGCCGGTGTTTTCAAACACCATGGCGGCCCATACAGGTGGTGATTTAGATTCCCTCACGCGTCGGCACGGAGTTAAAATAGTGTCGGCGGTAGGCAGTATAGAGGAATGCAGCTTAGCTGTTGGTAGTGTGGTTGAACATAAATGTGTTCTGGCTGCATCGAAAATGAACAGTGCAATTTTATTATTTTTGAGTACGGTAGAGAAGGCGAACGAGGTAGTAGAAAAAGGCATAGAATTGCGGGGTTCGTTTGTACCTGTACTTCCCCTTTCTACACCAACTAAAAAGGTTACATTGTCAAATGTTCCACCTTTTATTAAAGATGAAGCGCTAGCAAGAGAGCTTTCACGCTTTGGCAAACTTGTTTCACCTGTTAAAAAGATCGCAATCGGTAGTAAATCTGAGTTATTGAAACACGTTGTTTCTTTCAGGAGGTTTACATATATGATTTTAAATAACGGGAACGAACTTGATCTGAATTTGAAATTCAGAATAGATGATTACGACTATACAGTCTTTGTGTCGACTGACACTATGAGGTGTTTTGGATGTGGAAAGACGGGTCATCAGATTCATGCTTGTCCGGACAATAGTGCGAATGTCAGTAAGCCCGGTTCTTCGGGTGCGCAGTGTAAAACTGGTAATTCTGATGATGGTGTTCAATCAAATCCAATTGTTGTTAGTTTAAATGAAGGGTCTGCAGTTGAAATAAGAAAAGAAAAAACTGTTTCTGAAGAACATGGATTTGAGCAGGTAGAACCTGATAAACATGAGTCTGTGAATGAAAATAGTGAAAAGTTGGAATCAGTCTCAGTGAGTCAGATTCTTGATGTTGATTCTGCTTCGGAAAATACAAACATGGAGGATGGTGGTTTGTTGATGGAAGTAGATCAAAGTTTTTTTAAAACTCCTCTGAAAAGGAAGAAGAAAAAGGAATGCACTGCAAATAAACAAGCAAGGAAAACAAGAGAACAGGCCAGTGAAAATGATCAAGGCGCTGAAAGTGAGAGTGATTCTTCTGATTCAAGTGCTTTATCTTGTTCTCAGACTGATTGGCCATGTCATAACTGCAGCACTGAAAAAATTAAGACATTTCTGAAAGTGACAAAAAATCTAAGAGGTGTACAAATTGTCGATTATTTTCCAAATCTTAAAAGATTTGTTGAAGTTACTAAAAGTTCAATGATTGAAGGACGCTTCTCAGACAAGGAAGTGTATCGTCTTAAAAAAATTGTTATCAAAGTTCAAAATCAACTGAATAATAGCGACAATGAAGATTAATTTAATGACGGGAGCCTGTCTCTTATTCAGTTTTCTATGGCTAATCTT